CAACAGACGCCACATACGTAGGCGCAAGAGCAAGCTTAGTAAGCGCCTGCTGAACGGCGATAGCGAAGAATCAGTACGCTGCTCATACTGCTCCGTATTGAATGTGAATGAGAACGACTTGCGGATTTCATTCGAGAACACCTGCACCGACTCGCTGGTCACCGCTGCTAATATGCGACCAAGGAACCGAAATGGTGCACTTTGATGATGTGCCGTTGTACGGCACTCCGAAAGAGGAGCCATATGCTGTGCTTTAATCTGCATTGGCCTCACTCTTTGGTGGATCATCGACGCAAAGAAGTCCGCGAAGCACTTGCGAGGAGTCGTCGCTGGAATTGGGTCGGTCGAGGACGACCTTACACTTGAGGGGGGGGTAGTTAACTTATAACACTTAGTTAGCTTATAACACTTAATATAAGGTATTATTCAACACTTATTATCGGGTGCTAGACATGTTAAGGAACAGCCCTGGCAAGAGCAACTCTACTTACGCCGGTGAGGCTATGATTTGTAAAAATATAGATCAGTCTCGTGTTTTAACTCGTACTGATAGGACATGCTAAAAATTGGTGTCATATAAGTAAAACTAAAAATAGTGAATATAATAAGAAAAACCAATAAAATTAACTGTTTCGATTATTCAAAAAAGAACAATTAAAAGCAGGGTTAAAAAGCGTTCTTCCAGTAAACCGCTTAAATAAATATTCACTCCGTCATTTGCTCGTTAAATGGCTTATTTCATTGTCTGAGCCCGAGGCCAGCAATAAGAGGCACAGTCGCCTCTCAACCTAACTTTCAGTCACCACAGGACTGGAAATCATATAATTTATATATATATATATATGTAGATATATGTAGATATAGTTAAATCGTTGACTCGTAGATCGCCGACTTTTAGCGCTGATTTCATCTGGCGCTGTGAATTGAGTCGGGGATTCTGTGGAAGAGCACGTCGCGTCGCTGCTTGTAAAAACTGAAATTTATGCATGCCAATGGAGCATTTAAAGCGACATTTGTCCGCTGCGGCCATAACTCATGTGCGACTCGAGTAGTCAGCGCCATCGCCATCGCCTGCGCCTGACCAGCTCACACGCTCTGCTGCTCGGACTCTCGATCGGGCGCATTTACCGGGCCATTAGACCGGGCCGTGATCTGCTGCTGATGCTGCCGGCGCTGGTGTTGCCAACCATTCGAAAACTGCTGATTTGGGTCACAATTAATTGGCTCTCGAGCGCCATAAATATAGCCTCGAAGGCGGTAATCACAACAAAGGGCACAGCCGCAACTGAGCAACTGGGCAGCTGAACACGTGCACACGCTAATTATTATAGCCACCAGGCGATATTTAATGTCAACCTGTTGCCTTCAAATAAACTAAGACAGTAGAAATAAAAAATTTCTTATACACGTTTAAGTTCTGACTATGTGTGTCCTGATTTCCAAATCAGTTCTGACATATAATAATAAGTAATTTGACTTGCTATAAGAAACCCCCTCTTGACGATCTTAAACAATCTAAGGAACATATTTTCCAATTTTAGTAATGTACATTATTATATTGTTCAATATTTTCGGCCACAGTCCGCTATATCTGCCGCGATCTGGACCCTTGGATTAAAAGTCCAATGCTCTACCGACTGAGCTACCCGGGCATATCTGTTTAATTCAACCTTTTATTGCTTGTAATGATTGCAAGAGTAATAAAAAATTAGTAAAAATAATTTCAAACAACAAACATGGAATGGAAGGAAAGAAAGGCAAACAAATATTGATTACTTTTAATACTTTAATGAAATAAAAGGAAAACTTCTTCGATTCCATAAAATATATATGAACGTGCATTTACCTTAAGAGTTTTGTTGGGAGTTAGTTCATTAGTTTCCTGATCCAAAGTAGTTACACATCCGGGAATATCTTTTGCGATCTTATGCAAAAAATCGACTTCGCCCGAGCAGGGACTCGAACCCCGGACCCTTGGATTAAAAGTCCAATGCTCTACCGACTGAGCCACCCGGGCACATTGGAACTAATCCAAGAATATTAAAAAATATATCAAAATATTTTGAAACAAAAAACAAGTAATGGAATAAAAATTAAATATTGTTAATAAATTAGCTCTGGTAGGCTAACAGGCAGAAGGAGGAGGCGCATGTATATATATTCTTGATCAGAACGAGCTCAGCCGGTCTAGCCATATCCGTCATGCCGTATGTTTGAGCTATCCTCGACTTGAGCACTCTTGTTTATTTCGTAGTTGTTTATTGATATTATTTTTTATGAATTATATATATTTTGTGATTCTTTAAGTATCTATTTTCCAAAAAATATATTAATTGTGAATTGAAATATTTGTCAGCTTTAAGGAAGTTCCGCCTTTGAGTGCTCTGCATTGTCACAATCTAAAAGATTTTCTGTTTATTCATTACCAGCCCCTATTTAAGCTGACTCTCTAAGACACGGTATAAACTGAATTGAGCCCATACGCTTAGGTAGTCATTAAAGTTGACTTTATAATAGCTCAATTTTTTCGACATGGTGAAAGTTAATTGAAAGCCATGCCACATCCAAGATCAGCGAGTTCTGCTGTGTGTTTATCTTAGACATAAGGATAATGTAATTTAATCCCTTCCAGTTAACAGCCGTGTAGCACCTATTTCGTAGCAGACTCAGTCATTTGCGAATCGAAGTGGTGGTAGGCGGCTGGGCTGTAAAGGTGCTGTGGATGCGGATTAAGGATACGGCAGCGTCGCAGAAAGGATAATTCGCCAACCGACAATGCTCAGACAAAGGTGTTTTGTTTTTATGACTTTGTAACTCCTTCGCCCGGTAGACGGCGACGATCCTTCTGAGGCGGCTGCCTTTGAGTTTGCGTCTGCTCGTGTTGGCGAAAGGATAATTTTACGATGGTTATACGCGCAGGCAATGACAGAGGCAGAGGCAGGTACCATGTCCAGCTAAGTGGACACAATAGAACGCCTATTCGCACTGCGAATCCGATGGCCAAAAGGAGTGACCGACCAGCTCTGCACAATTGTTTTGCCAAAGGCGGGCTTTATTTTGACTATTTAAAGGATTACGCTAAAGGATTGACTTTGCAACCTTGACTGCCGCCTCGTCTACATCGTCAGAAAACGCTCACGCCCACAATGAAGTTTTCCGCGAATCTTCAGAGCCTTCGCCTTGCCAAACCGTCCGAGTGCGGGTTTTATGGTTCGCGAATGAGTTAAAAGCGACCTTTGGGTTTTCAATAAAACGAATGACATAGAAAAACTCTTCGCTTCTCCGAAGGACGTCGAAGAGTTAACGTAACTCTTTCGCAACTTGCACGTAAACCTTTTACCACTCAGCTAGAAGTAGTAAAAAAGAAACAATCCACAAAACTGACTCCTAGAAAATTTCTAAAAAATCCACACGATAATAGCTTTAGACTTAATGTTAGCCAAGACTCTAGGTAGATATGTTATGTTAAAAAGACTTCGTGGGAAATTCTTATTATTTCTGTTATTGCAAAACTATCTTAAAAACTGATATTATTCATTTTGATATTGACCTCAGATGTATCATACTATTTTAGTTGAAATTTGTTTTACTAGAAATAAATATATTTTGTCAATATACAATTTTTTGGTTACGTCATTTGTAGGCTTTAACGATAAATCATGATCTGTGTGGATCTCTCTTCCAATTTTAGTTTGAGTTTGATAAATTTATAAATTATATCGTGCACAACAATTTTAATTCTGCTGCAAGTAGCAATTATTATTACACAAAAATCCAATCATGTATATTTTCATATATCATATTATCATATAGCACAGACTTAATTTTGTCTCATATTGAGCATGTGGACTAAAATTCAAACTGATGGATGATGACACTATCTTTACTTTGCGAATCCAAATACTTATAATTAAAATAATAAATATAGTTTTAAATTTCATTGTAAAACCTTTTTCCAATATATGTTGCAAGTTTTTCTTTTGAAACTTCAAAGTTATTTGTCAAAGCTGAGACGAGTTTGGTTAGAAAATACTCTTTACTCGAGTTTTGTTGTTAGATTATTCCACACTACGGCAAACCTTTTCATTTGTTGTAAAATCAAAATACGTGGCTAAGCCAGTAACTACCCGTGCTCATAGCTCTGTCGACTACCCACTGTCCACTTTGATCTAATGAGTCGTATAAATGCCGCCCGGCAAAAGGCATCGGCACATGGTTCTTGGGTTGCGTTGCCGATAGCTGTCAAGGAGAGCAATGAAAAATGACCAGTCAATGTCTCACTTCAATGGATGAGCAAACAGCGAGAGGCGGAAAGGCAGAAAGGCGGAAAGGCTGCGCCCTGCTCTCTGGTGGTGGAAAACAGCCAAAGCGACCAAAATGTGACACTTTTCCATTGCGAAAATAGTGCATTTTATAGAAAAGTCGCAGACAGCGGCGAGGGGAGCAGCAAATTGCAGCTGCTCAAATTTAGAGTCGATATCAAAAACATTTCTCTTCATTGGCTTAAGCTGTGCCAATTTTGGGTGGTTGCAAAGGATTCCTAATGATCCAAAAGTTCAGCAAACAACAATTTTTAAAAAAGTTGTTGGGGAAGAGCAAATAATTCATGGAGTGCATCAAAATTTTCCAAATTATGTTTTGTGTATTGAAGAATGTCAAGAGACTACGGACATATGTATAAAACTTGGTATGCTATGAAATAATAATAAAATATTGAGATTGTAATTCAATTGAAAACACTTCAGAAAAATAGAATTAATTTTTATATATTTTTAATATTCAATATTTAGTTTGTATATTATATATTTAAGATGAGGAAAATACACTAACTCTATTCTAAATTTAATAAATAATTCCAGATTTGTTAATTATATTTTTAAGAATTTCAATCAAAGATTTCTCATTTAATTTGAAGAAAAACAACATTTGATTTAGGTTTAGTTAAATTCGATAGATATATTTTAATAAATATTTAATAATCGACTTATGTATTAGCTGTACAATAGAAACAAAACATTCTTCAGTCTCCAAGTTGAGTTCGTGTTGCATTATCGATGCCTGGCCACAGCCCATGAGCTCAATGATAATCGAGCGCTCCAGGCAACTGGCCAAAGGCAGCCGAAAACAGAGAACAGACAGCAGGCAACGGGTAACCCATGGCCAGCCACTGGGTTTTGAGGTGTCGAGGAGCCGCACATGCGCACTCGGCCTTTTGCCCAAGTCCTGGGCACCGTAGGGAGTGCGACTGCGACGGCGACTGCAACTGCGACTGCGCAGCATCTCGTTAGACATTTGCGTGTCACCGGCAAATGGTCGAGAGTTCGTAGCGCGTTCGTTATGGTTGTGTGTTTGTATGTGTGCGGGTTCTCTTAGGGCAGATGATACAGCGCTTGGTTGGAGGTGTTCAGCTCTTGCTGTTGCTGTTGTTGCTGGTAGCTGCACTGCTGCTGCGTCTGTTGATGATATTGCGGTGTGTACTGCGCATCGTACGGCTGGGCAAAGTGCGGCGGTGGCGGCGACTGCTGCGGGTAATCATAGCTCTGCTGCGTGGCGGGCAAGTAGGCAGGATATGCGGCATAGGGCATGGCAGCAGCAGGCTGTAGATGTGGCTGTGGCTGTGGCTGTGTCTGTGGCGGCATAGCGGTGGCATCCAACGGTGCCAAGAGCGACGCATAGCCGGTCGTGGTACAGTGGTCGGGCGAAGCTTCGAGCGTGCGATCCTTTTTGGACTTCATGCGTCGGTTCTGGAACCAGATCTTGATCTGGCGTTCGCTTAGATTGAGCGCATGGGCAATGTCCATGCGTCGACGACGTGTGATATAACGATTGAAGTGGAACTCCTTCTCCAGCTCGAGCGTCTGGTAGCGGGAGTAAGTTTGCCGAGTGCGTTTAGAGTCTTTGCAATCTGAAATTATTGAAAGAAAAGCAGCAGAAAGTAAGTAACAGTTAAAAAAGGACAGTGAGGGTGTGTGTGTGAGAGAGAGAAGGAAAGCGATGCCTACCTGATGCGATGGTCTCCTCAATGTGCGACCAATTGAATTCGTTGCTGGAATTGGCAGCTGTCACAATGCGATGATTGATTTCATTTGACTTCTCGGCCGGCGACTGGGGTGGCGTGCTGATGGTGATGCCGATGCCGTCGACGGGCGTGGTGGCTGCTGGTGGTGGGGTGATGAAGTCGCCATGTTTGGCCTGCTTGCGGGGCGAGTAGACGTCCAGATAGTCCACATCTTCGCCGGTGCTGCGCTGCGGCGACATGTGCGTGTGCTGTGTGGAGGGCGTGGGCACGGCGTAGTCCTGCTCGTAGCAGGGCGACAGCTCGCCGGCGGAGCTGCTCTTGCTGGGCTTCTTCACGTGCTCGATCGTCGTGTAGAAGTAGTCGGGTGTGTACTTCAGCTTCTTTACGGGATTGGTGAGCAGGGCGCGCAGTGTGCTGGGTCGCTCCTCCACAGCGGCAATAATGTCTGCTGCGGATTCCTCGGCCTTGCGCTTGCGGCTCTTAACTGGAGCAGGGGAGCTGGTTTCAATGACTGGCTCTGCAATTGTGGGCACTTGGTACTGAGGCACTGCGTCAAGAGTGGGCAGGCACAATGGTTGATCCTGATGTTGTTGCTGTTGCTGCTGATGATGGTAGTTGGCATAGTAGCAGCTCTCGCTGTAGCTCTCCTGGCTGTAGTGGGCATAGCTGCTGCCCTGATAGGTAGCTGGCTGCCAGCCCTGGCTGCTCTGATAGTAGCTGCTGCTGCTGCTCGTGTTGTCGTAGTATGTGGGTGGCAGGGCGTGGTGGTACATGTTGTACATGCTGTCGGCATAGTAATGTGTGTTGGTGGCTGCCATTGCGTCTGTCTGTTGTCCTGTGAACGAAATGAACGATGTGTGCGCGACGCTGCTGCGTTTGCGAATGAGCTGCTCTGCCTTGTGATCCTGCCTTAATATAGCCAAAGTCGAGCTGCGAGGCTGCGCTTGATGTTTGGCACACGCGCTCGTCATAGCGCATAAATATCCCTGCGCATGACACTTTGACACATGCTGCGCGCCCTACCCCTCCAGCCAGGACCTTGCCAGATTTATGGCTCGCAGGGGTAGCGCTGAGTTTATCCGGCCCGGCGAACGGACCGTTTATCCGGCAAAGAGCGAATGCTCATAGAGCGGCCTACCTGCTGCGCCTGCTTATTACCTACCCATCGCGCCCATTATCATCGCGAGTTGCTGCAAGTTATCCGAGCCTTTCCCCTGCGCCGAGTCGTGTCCTTGAGCTGCCTTGAGACGTGCGCTGGACGTCCCACAGGCGCGTAATTAAGTCGAGCCTCGGGTAGGTGGGCGAGCGGGACGGCGACTGGTTCGCTGCCCTCCTCTAATTGCAATAATCATAAAGACATAAACAGAACTGTAAACTGTAAACGTTGCTAAAAACGGTTGGCACAAAAGGCTTTTCCTTTTGCCCGTTTAGCGACAGCAGCAGCAGCAGCAGCAGCAGCAAATTCGTCAAAATTTCTCCGGCCGGCAATGAAGGGAAACGAAGCTGCTGCCAGTTGTTCCAGGAATCGTCAAGGTATTCGCTTCAGCTAAGGCATCGGTGCTTGATTAGCCCTGGACTTGCAACTGGTTGCGTATATCAAGGGAAAGGCGCAAAGGCTGCGAAAGGATAATATTGCGCGTGCTTCTACCCATTCCATTCCATTCGCAGTCCTATTTTAAGCAGATCCTTTGTTGCGTCGCGTGTTGCGCTTTTTGTTTGCTCGCGAGGGTTTTCCTGCGGCCTGGGCAAGTGCCCCGAAACAGACTCTTGCGCATATTTGTATAGCTGACCCGTAAGCCGCTCAGCTAAATTGACTGGCCGAAAGGCGAGTTTACACGACTTCTCTATCCGCTTAGCCAGCAGAAACATAGAGGAAGTTGAGGCAGCTACAACCACCCCCGACTCTGATCTAAGGCCCACCCTCCGCACCCCTATCAAACGATATCTATAGATTGGCTGGCATATGTGTGCAGTTTGTGCATGTGCGAATTGTGCGGCTACCCTCTGCTGCTCTTGCTCCTGCCTCTGGCCCTTCCGCTGCCCCAAACTGCGCTCGGCATTTGCTCTACCACTCCCATTGTTATTGTTGCTGCGGCGCGCACGTTCGCTGACAGCCGGGCAAAAATTTATGGCGTTTTTCAGCTTGACAGGCCGCTGCGACCCACGACCCACGACAACCCACTTTATATACACACTCTCCGTACTATAGATATGGCATATCGATGTTGGTAACAAATAAAGCGTTTTTTTCTTGCTTGTTGTAAAAGGGAATTTGGGTTGAGCTGTAAAGAAAATATGTGTCATAAAACTGCTATTTCTACATTCTTTATAAACATAGTTAAACACATATGCCTCTAAAAAATAAAATCTTAAGATGAGCCAATACTTTCGACTGAAAGATATGTGTATAAGTTAACAGAGAGGCTAATGAATTGATTTTGTAATAAAAGATTTATTGAATCTCATGATTAGTATCAGCTGCTATAAGAATATTTACTTAGGAATAATAAAATCTTCTTAATAATATTATTTTCTATATAATATAATTAGCTTTAATATATGTTGAGCACTTCATTTAATCTAATATTGCGCAGAATCCTTGCCTGCTTTTCTCTGCAGCTCTACATGTTCGACTCAATCTACTTAAGCAATTCATCAGTTTGCCAATTGACTCCACCAAATCATTATTTTGCGATATTTTACAAGTTTATTGAATCAGGTGCAGTTTAAATTGGCAGTCACCGCAGACACTCAATGCTTCGTTTCTGGGCGATTGAGTTTTATCACCCAAATGTTCTAAAGTCTCGTTGAAATACTTGGAAAAATAAAACGATATGCTGGCCAAATCTGATTGCGAGCCGAAGTCAAGTTTTGGCAACAATAATTGAGTTGTAAGGCCCACAGGCGAATGCTCCGACCACAACACACCCCGTTGCCCGATGCCAGGGGACGAGCGTTCCATGCGTTTTTATTGCCGAATTAATAAATTACCTTGACAGTGGAATCGGGTCCATCCCATTGTGCGAGCGTGCCGCATCGTCTACCCCATCCTTCTTGCTGCCTGCTGCATTCCAAGCAAAGACTCATCCCCTTGCATTTTCATGAGGGTAACAGCCAAAGTCTGGCAAACGCTGGACATTGAATATATATATATATATATAGATATACACATATTTATATATATCTGTATGTATGCGTGAGTTTTTATCAATGCTCTGGAAGGTGAAACAGGCACGCGCCTGAAGTAGGCGAATGTGTTAATACCCAGCGATGAGCTGTTAATATCATCAGCTGCACGCAGGGAAACTTTAATTATAATCATATAATACCGATGATAATGGAGAAGCATCCATAAGTATGCGCACTTCCAAGGTATTTGATTACGATTTCTATTTGGATTTCTTCAAACTTCAAAGGATTTCACATAATATTATAAATTGGCATTGGAAATTTGGGTTTCCCCCTCGGTGCTAGAGCATTACACAACACAAGTATCGCTTAAGATACTCCAAATCGTGCGATTGTTTGTTTGTTTGTTTACTTCTCTTCGCTGGCTTCGTTTACTGGGCCTAGGGTCACACGCTGTGTCTTTGAAGTTGGATGGCTGAATCTCCTCTGGGAGTCGCAGATAGCTCATTGCTCATTACGCCGTCCCCAAATGCTAATTGTGCGGCAACAACAACAGCAACAGCAACAGCAACGATCGACAACATCGCCACTCATTATCAGACCGAAACATGCGACGTCAAGCTGCGTATAAAATCAAAATAGCTGAGAGAAATAATCAACAACAACAAGAAAACAAACAAGGAAAAGAAAGATTTATCTTTCGGAATGTCGAACGATATATACCCTATATCTTAGATCTTCAATCTAATCGAAGGTAAAATTCTTATGCAAAAAAGCCTAAATAATGAAATCTTAACTAAAAACAATGTTTATTGACTCTTAAAATCAAAATTCTCTGCTTCCATGACAGCCTTATAATATTACTGTTTGCTTAACTTAGCATTTAAAGTATTCGAGTTCTCTAAGCAAAACGAGTAATCCGTGGGTTATTTAGTTCCATCCAGACGTAGCGACTTAGCGATAATACCCCATGCGCTGTCAGCATATATCAAAGCCAAAACACTTGAAGTGCTTTTTTAGTCAGTTTTATATATAGTATAAGCGTCAGAGCGTCTAATCTGAACGCAGCGTGAGTCTTTCGCTGTATACCGATTCGGATGCCCATCCAAAACCTTAGACCAATCCTAGACCGCTGAAATGCCATCAATTTGATTGCCTCAATCACCGCCCAATTTGTGAAAAGCGAGAGGAAGAAAAAGAAAATTATTCAAAATGTTGTTTGATTTACCAATTAAGATGCACACGTCTCGACTCGGGCTGTGAATATATTCATTTATATTCAGGCCCAGGCGCTGCAGGTGCTGGCAAGCGATCGTCTCAGTCCAGATGAAGTAATTTTCAGCTTTGGCTACTCGCTTGCCACATTCGGCATGCCTCATTCGGCTGCAGGACAATTTCACTGACCTTGATGCTGCCAAAGTCCAGTCGAGGCCAGTCGACTCGATGCTGAATGAGCGAATAGGAAAAGCCAGCGTGGGTGAGCTGACCTTGGATAATCACGAACGATCCGAATGGAATCGAAGCGATCAGAGCTCGGCACCAATCAAAGTCAAGGCAGTTTCTAAGTACCTCTCCTGTGTGCTGTGCTCCTTTTTACGCTGTGTGTACAAACATTCGCTCAATGCGTCACGCGTCGCCTTCGTCCTTGGCCATTCGTCTTCGGCTTCGTCGTCGTTGTCGGCTTCTGTTCTCTTTATTTGGCTGTCGTTAGGATATTTAAACTCAATGTCATCCTGCCTGCACTGTCATCCTCCAGAGTGTGTTTGCGTTCGTGTTGACATTTCCCTGGCGCATTAATTGCTTCTGTCACACTTATTCGCATTGTTTCGCGCTCTCCATAATGAGGTGCTCGTAAAGTCGTTGCATTGGAGTGAATTATGCATTTACAGTGAGCTCTCGCTTTGTTCTTTTTTATGGCCACACATGAATTGTGCGACAATCTCTCGACAATGTTAACACCTTCTTCTGTATGGCAATGAATTTACACAATTGCAGAAGAGAACAAACACATTTCCATTATCATCCATCCATGGGAATGAGATGTTCATTCTGCATTCTCCATAATTTCTCCAAAAATTTTTAAATATGATTACAGCATCCTTATCGTTGATTATCTTAGAAATATTACTCCTAGTATAGCGTATTGATAGTAAATATTTTTCAAAGTTTACAAAAGGTCTAAACCTAAAACTAAATAGCTTTCAATGACTTTCATCGAGTTAATTTTCTAAAAATTTCCGAATGATATTTTACTTTGAAATCGTTTTATTTGACTCTTTATTCTTCTATTTGTAATTACATTTTGGCAATTTCTTCTCGGATACTTCTAAGTCTTGTTTTTCAATCAAATACATTCTATTGATGTGTTCATGCGCAGCATCGAACTGCCTTTTAAAGTTTCGAATGCTTCTCTATGTTTTCGAAAAACTTAACTAAACTCTGTAAACTACTGCGAGAAACTACCATTAAAACTCACTTCATAATATATATTTTTATTTTTATATTATTATTATTATGTTATTATTGTTATTTGGTATATTATTATATTATTATTTATTATAATTATATATATTATTTTCTGTTGACATTAACATATATTTTTTGCAGCATCAAAAAGATTCGTTTTGAATTTTATATGTCTTAAATTTTAAATTTTATATGTCTTAAAATTGAATGCTATTTTATTTTT